TTGGCCTTGTTCTTGAGGATCGTGTGTTGCTTCAAGGTGTGCGGGTGAGCACTTTGCTTTAGTTTTCCCAAACTTGCACTAGTCTTTTACCTATCTTTCTTGCTGATTTAGTTTTCGTGCATAACATAAAAAAGGCTTATATTTTCATGCTTAAGAACTTTCATTAAGGGTCTTTTGTGGTTTGAGTCCAAACTCACCCTCTTAGGCCTTATTTGGCCTTTTTGTTGCCTCCTTGGTGAGGCCTTGTTTGCTTGAGTGTTTTGATCTTCTCACCACTGAAAACCAGTGGATTTTCAGTGGTGAGGAAGGTGGTTTGAAGTCTTGTATAGGGGAGGGACACCCCTCTCCCCTTTGTCTTTCTTTTACCCTTGTTTTGGCTTAAAAGGGAACATGCATGCTTGATCATTTTTGGCCTTATTTCAGAGGTTTTGAGGTGTCTCTAGGTCACATGTCATCTCTGTTTTTGGCCGGATTTGTGCCCTTTTGCATGCTTAACATACTTGCTTTACATTCCTCTATTTGGCCTAGAAATGCATCTTGTGTTTAAGCCATGATTCTTGCATGTGTTAGCTTAATTCCATGAAGGTGTTGGCATTATTTTACCATGTTTAAGGTCTATTGGCCATCTATTTCAGTCATGCTTGCCTTGTTTGGCGTCATCTCTTTGTGTTTTGGCTTGTAAGCCTTGAGCATATTGACCTCTAGCATGCATAGCTTAGACCTTTCCCATGATTTGACATCATTTAGGGTCCCATTTCAGTCCATAAATCATGTCTGTATGTGTGCATATGTGACCTCTTTCATGCTTTGAAGATGTGCCCTTTTATGCCTAAAAATGAGTTTTGGTGCATGCATCTCATTGGAGCCATTTAAGCTGCCATATTAGTGAGGTTTGGAGTCCATTTTTGCATACTAAGTTTCTGTTTTTGCTTGTCTAATTCATTCCATGAATGGTCATGTTAGTGGAAGTAAAGTGTCCCCTTTTTGCGCCTTAGCCTTAGGCCTATTGGCTTGCATGTTGGCATGAGTGTTTGTCCACCATTTTGGGCACTTTTGGCCACTGTTTTGGGGTGGATTAAGGTCTGCCCCCTTTATGGTTTAAGGCCACCCTTGCATGCTTGTCTCATGTTTGTTGCATAATAGCTTCATAGGGTGTTGTAACATGATGATCCTATTGCTTAAACCATCCTTGTTTGCATTGCATTTCCATCTTGCATGCCTAGCGTTGCATATTCGCCATGGTAGTTGCATAGCATTTGGCATGCCTTGCATCTTAAATCTTATGTTGCATTTTTTAGTCATGTTTGCATAACATGCATTGCATTACTTGGTTTGGGGTGTCAAACCAAGTGTGAGAGTTAAGGAGCATTCATACTATAAGTGATGTAACGCGTCTTAACTCTCGGTCACCGGGGCCCTTGACTTAGACATGATAGGGTCTTAGTTCTCATTTGTGTGTTGCATGCATTTTTACATCAAGTGGCAAGCTTGATCTCTTAGGCTATCATGCACCATTGATGGCTCGTGGATCAAGGGCCATGCTTCCCTGAGTTCAAAGCATGATGGGGAACATGACCATGCTCACATGTGCCTGAAATCCCATGCCATATACTGTCTGTCCTCTGTTGCTGTCAAAACTGTCTTCTGCAGGAAGCTTCTGCCGACCGGTAGCATCCAATGCCGACCGGCCATTTGTGAAGGGCCGATAACTCTATCAGAAGTTGATGGAAATTACATATGGCCGGTGGGCATCCCCTCCAGCCGATGGTACTCTACAGTGTGCAAGGAACCTGTCCCAGAACTTTGGTAATTTTCAGAGAAGCAGGGCAGTGTAAACAGAGGCAGCCTTGGTATGGTACGGACTTTCCGGGCAAGGCGAGTTCGAGCATGCATCATTCACGCATCCCGAGACGGAGGCTGTGGCCATCTTTCTCCTTTTTTTTTTGTATTCTTTCTATTAATTAATGAAAAATTCTGTAATAATTAATGTATTTATTATTCGGACTGTAATATTTAGTTGTACCCTCCGAGTGAGGGCAATTGTGTAATAAGCGTGCGTGAGTGGATGTATGTCTTCCAACCCCACGTCTTTCTTCCCTTTTATTTACCTGCTTATGATGGTAGACTAGGGCATATTTAAAATTTGCATACCTTATGCTATGCATGCGTGCATCCATACATTTGTCCTGCATGCACCGGGATCGGTACATCACGCTAACTGCATTTGTATTTCAATTCCAAATTGAATACGTGCATTAATTGGTTGCATTTCACATGCCATGTTTAGGTTAGCCGAGCCTACTCTAAATTGCATCTTGCATGTGTTGCATTAGTCAACTTGACATGAACTAGGATCATGCATGGTTGCTAACTAGTTTATTGTTTTGGCACGGAGTACGTTGTAAGTATTTATGCTTTAGCATACCGCATGCGTGTGAGTGTTGCCATGACAGTATGTTTGCCATGCGGCTAAATGCCTATGTGATATACTGTTTGAATGCCTGTGGGTGAAGGTTGGATTGTTTGAGTTGGAAAAACTCGTTGAAATCTGTATTTTAGCCTACTTGCGAGTAGCAAATTCCAAAACATTTTTCAAAACAAACGGATATGCAATGCTTCTTTCCAAATTAGGCAATCTAGAATATACTTGTTTGCTGTGCGCATAACATAGTAACTCTAGGCTAATAAATGGAATAAGAACACATAACGTTTTCAAAAATGGATATCACGGTTAGTAGAGGCCGATCTTCGGATCGGGCGAAAGGGGGTGCTCATAGCTGACCTTCCCCAATCGTACCCTAGCTCCCGAGCCGAGGCAACTCTGGTGATGACGGACATGTGGCCTTCGGCACCGAGTCAGGGTTTCCTAAATTCCCCCATAAAAAATATTTAGGTGGCGACTCTGTATCTGGCAAAGCAGTCCATGTTTGGCACTTCTTTTCAAAAATCTGTTTCTCAAAACGATTTGCCGGATTTGGACTCTTTGGTTCAGATTAAGAACCATGACACAAATCGAGTCCGAACTGTAGCGAGGGCCCCCCGCACGGGCGCGTCTACACCCTCATTTTATTCAGTTCTTCAACCAATGCCATATTCTTACTTTTCAGCCTCTTGTTTTCTTTTTGAACTCGCTCTAATTTCCCAAGATCAATGAAGTCTTTCAAAAGTTGATCATCTCCTAAAGCTTTAGCTACATGATCTTCATCTTCTTTAGTCTCCAAATTTTCCTCTATGTCCAATGCATCTTCTTCCTCATCATTGCGAATGAGTTCCATTTCTTCTCTAGAAATGGGCTTCAGTTCATCGTGATTTACCTGCATTTGAAAAATAGAAAAAGAAAAGAAGTCAGCAATAAAGCAAACTTTAACCACTAGAGTAAAATTTTACTTTATTTCAAAGTAAAAGTTTACTCTGATTGTAAGTAAACTTTACTCTAATTTAAAGTAAACTTTTATTCTGTTCAAGAGTAAGTAAACTTTTATTCTGATTGTACGTAAAAGTTTACTCTAATTGTAAGTAAACTTTTACTCTGATTTGAAGTAAACTTTTACTCTGTTCAAAAGTAAATAAATTTTACTCTGATTGTAAGTAAAAGTTTACTCTAATTGTAAGTAAACTTTTACACTAATTTAAAGTAAACTTTTGCTCTATTCAAGAGTAAGTAAATTTTACTCTGATTGTAAGTAAAAGTTTACTCTGATTGTAAATAAACTTTTACTTTGATTTTAAGTAAACTTTTACTCTGTTTCAAAATAAAATTTTACTCTGATTGTAAGTAATTTTTACTCTGATTTAAAGTAAACTTTTACTCTATTTAAGAGTAATTACAATTTTACTCTATTTCAAAGTAAAAGTTTACTATGATTTTAAGTAAACTTTTACTCTGATTTTAAGTAAATTTTTACTCTATTCAAGAGTAAGTAAAATTTTACTCTGTTTCAAAGTAAAAGTTTACTCTGATTGTAAGTAAACTTTTACTCTAATTTTAAGTAAACTTTTACTCTGTTCAAGAGTAAGATTTTATTATGTAAGCATAATTTTAAGCAAAGTGAACCAGTAAGGCTGACTTTGGAAAGATGATACCTCTTTGGGCTTTAGTGTTTGCAATGACCTCTTCATTAGCTTTTTCCTCAACGTTGATAAGTTCCATCGAAGGAGCCTTGGATACAAATTTTTTCTATGAGGTTGAATGAGAGTAGTATGCTCGCATAACTAGTACTATAAAATAAAAAATCGAAATTAGTTAATTCTCTAAAGATAGATTGCGTAATGTTTCAAGTAGTTTTATTTACTTATCAAACGAAGAAGTACACATCCAGTTACATTTTCAGGACTTCTTAATGAAGAATGGATTGAAGTAGTCAATGTGGATGCAACTGCAGTCGACCATGCATATGAATTCATCATTTCTAAATCTTCTATAAGGGCGACAAAAGCCCATCAAACTGTTAGACCAGTTGTTGGTAATAGCAAAGTTGCCACAACAAATAAACACATTATTCGTGCAACATGCTCAACATCAACTGTCGTTGTGCGTTCCATTGCATCTCTTAATGCTTCTCGCAAATTCTTTACGGATATTCTTGACATATTACAAAACGTTCTCTGCACAAAAGGTGATTCTTGTTTCTTCCCATATGAGACGTCTACTTTTTTCGTTCTGGATTTTATTCCAAAAATCAAAGTAACGTCACTGTCCCGTATGTCACACGTTTTCTCCCAAAGCTTAAATCCCTTTGCATGAAAGTCATAAGATTTGATCACATCCATGACATTATCGTTAACTTTCTTGAACTTCTTTAACGCCATATCTTCTTTCTTCCAAAAAGATTTAAATAACATTTCAAAAGGTGTTCTCTCGAGGGCAGTAATGTGTCTTTTAGTGAACCTTGTGTCTTGCATTAGGTTTATCAATGAAACAACATTTGACCTATATTGTTTCACATAGTTCTCACTCTCCCGTACTCCATGTACAATATTCAACTTCGAAGGTTTTGTTGTTAAAGGCCTTGGATTGCTTTCATTGCAGTCTTCATCATCACTAGTATTAGATTGAACTTCTTTACTACTTTTGCTCTTTTTTTTTTTAGGACTTTCTTCTTTTGCATAGCCATTGGTGGAACTTCAAAATCATCATCATCATCATCACCACATTTGCTTCTTGTAACAACCATTTTAAAACACTAAAAAGTTTTCCTATATCAACAGTGTAACAATTTACTTTAAGCAACAAAGTGATAAAACAAATAAGCACTAAAGAAAATGCACAAGTATTGTAATGAGACAGTAAAGTTTTACACTGTTTGGTAGTAAAACTTTACTTTTATTGAAAGTAAAATTTTACTCTGATTAAAAGTAAAATTTTACTCTGAACAATATACCCTAGGAAATAAACAAAAAACACATACAAAATTTATAGAACCAAGAATCAAGAAAACCTTGTCTCAATTTTGACTATACGCAACACAGTTCTGAAATTAACATGTACAATTCACATTCAAACCGAAATCAGAGAAATGACGAAACTACAATCACATTCACATATATATATATATATATATATATATATTCATACACAAATTGATATGCACGTTTATGTAATGAGCAAATTGATATGCACGTTTATGTAATGAGCAAAGGCTAGAGTTAAAGTAAAATTTTACTTTGTATATAGGTAAAACTTTACTCTCATTGGAAGTAAAATTTTACTTTGAAAAATTCATGAAGCAAGTGAATTTGAAAGCATTGAAATTGCAGAACCAAAACACTACAGAAATCAAAGCAATGAAATTGAAGCAAAACTACATACACCGTTCCGAAATACCTAAATTAGTTTTCAAAATTTTTAAACCTTAACATTCTCACATGATTTAGTAATTTAAAGTATTTTAAGATAGTGATAAAAATTTTAGAACAGATGATCCTTAGTGTAACCCAAAATCCCAAACTCTACTCACCCCAATGCAACAATGAAAAAAGAAAAGAAAAAAACAAGTATATTAAAATCACTAACCTCTGTATTTTGTTAGAATAACATTTTTTTATAAATCAAACAACAATTTTTAGCAGCACTAATTCAACACACACATTACCAAAGGTAATCCCACCCCATACCATGCCAACGTAATCTCATACACCACTTCCAAAATGAAAATAAACCCAAACAGACTTCATAATATCGAAAAACTAACAGAAAGCGAAAAAAATCACTTGCAAAATGTGTGTCCAAGAGAGAGAGTAAAGCGTAATGCAAAGTTCGATTCGAGCGCAAGTGACGAACCTGTAACGTTGCTGGGGTAGAAAGATGAAGTAGCTCTAGAGAGCGAGAGTAATGAGACTCAGAGAAGGGTTTCAATCGATGCTAGTGTTTTCGAATGATGATATTCAGAGGAGGGTTTTCAATCGATGAAACAAAGTGAAGGAAGAGAAACGGTGGAATTGTTTCATATTTCCCCACTTATATGGAAGGGCATTTCAGTTAGTTCATGATATTTTTTTAATTGAGGAGCTTTTGGGGCCATTGTTTTATTCCATGGGCTTTACACAAAATAGGCCCAATGGGAAGGGCTTTTCACCAAAAATTCCATCATTTATTGCTTTGTCATGTGAAACATACTTATTGGAGAAAAAGTAATAATTTATTTAATATGTATTGCAAATTCTAATTCATTGAAAATATAATATAAATAATATCATATAATATTTTTAAAATATTTATTAATTTCATGGGTGTATTGAGAAAATAGCATAGTCATATATTAAGGCCGCCCCCAACTCTTCGGGGAGAGAGAGAGAGAGAGAGAGAGAGACTTTCAGTAATGGAGACTTTCAGGGAGATAGAGGCTTTTAGGTTGGATGATTCTAGATCATGAATCTCAACTGTTGGATCCCCGGTACGTGGATGGTTGTCAAGCCCCATATTTTATTACTCGGATAATATTACCAATATTCATTAATCAAGTCCATTTACAAATAGCATTTCATCCTTGGATGAAATTATGAATAATTAAATATACATATTCCCTCTCGTTATACAACAATGACATTTACATACAAATAAAAGAAATGCACTAAGGCTTACAATGAAAGAGAGGACACTACTCTTTACAAAAAAAAATAATACTCAGCCAAACAAACAAATGAGGTAGTACAATTCATCACTATATTACACTTATGAAATGGTAAAACCCATTGTTTGATCTTCCAATCCGAAAAGCATTCCCTGCATACATGTACAGGCAGGAGGTGAGCAACCACTAACTCACCAAACAATCTCATATTAAAACATTAGAAGATATGCAGGTACCAAAATGCTCATACACATACGTGAAATCATATCATGTCAAAACCATATGATTTTATTACATAATCTCTTAAATCCAATTTATTTGATTAACCACAACAAGTTAACTTAAATAAATAAACATGCTTCAATAGCAATATGACATCATTTTCAATACACTCAATTATCTCATTATCAATTGAATCAAATAATTAAACAATTCATAATGACATCTAACAAAGTATCAAATACATTTTATACAGTCTTGTGAGATGAATGCATATGCTATGTCATGCTCAAAATATTTTTCTCATCATTTGAAAATCTTACGCACAAATCATATCATATCAAAACCACATGATTTTATTATATAAGCTCTTAAATCTAATTTATTTTAATTAACCACAACTAGTTAACTTAAATAAATAAACATGCTTCAATAGCAACATGACATCCTTTTCAATTCATTTAATTATTC